CAGGGCCTGGTCAGTGAGGTTAAGACGTGCGCACGAGGGTCTGCGATCTTGGGTTTGAGGCCATCGCCCGAGGGATCCTACCTCCACCGAATTGAGGCCATCTTCGGTATTACGGATTGAGGCTATCTCCGTCATAGGCAATAAATGTTAAGTGGTTTGACTTTGGTGAAAGTCTAAATTGGTTTGACCGGTGGTCAAACAGTTCAGGAGAAACCCGTAACACCTAAATCGTTTTGAAAAGAAAGAAAATAAGTTGACTGTTGGTCAACCGTTTAAAGAACCGAATGTAAAGTTGAATTGATTTTTATTAAAAGGATAAACATATGCACGATCTTAATTGTTGAATTATTATGTTTATTCTTGTGCTACAATGGAGTACCACTCAGCGTCAATGCTGAGCGGATAGCGTTTTTTTCTTTTTCTGTCCGTAGGTGATCAGACAGATGAACCTAGAGCCGATCCCAGAGGGCATTGAGGAGGAGATGTACGATGGCGTGGCTGCCTCTTTAATCTATTGATATGCTTTATTTAATTAACTTTAATGCTTATTACGTTCTCGGGCAAGATCCCAAGTTGTTTGACTTTAAAAAGGCTTCCGCATTATTTTAAATTACTCCGATGGATTTTTATATGTATTGATAGAACGTTTGTTTAAAATTGTTTTGAAAATGTCGCAAATTCGGATACCAATTCAGTGGCACACCGGTCCGCTGTCTCACGGGTTTGGGTCATGCGGTTTGGGGTGTTACACTAAGATTTCTCTTTTTCTCTCGAAGACCTACAAAAATATTTTGCCTTTCACTAACAACCTCACATGATTTGCAGTTACTCTGCCCTCTATTTGCTTTTTATGCAGGAAAAATATTGATGAACAGAATCACACACTCAAACAATGCAGTTTCAGTAAACAAATCTGGACACACTTTGAGGAACAATTCAAAATCCATAGAAGTACCACTCACGGGATATGCGCATACCTCATGACATGGTGGAAGGATCATACAAGAAATAGCAATCCACAAAAGCAAATCGCACCAGGAATCATAGCATTTGAAATCTGGAAGGAAAGGAATCGAAGAAAACATCAAGACGAATCAAAAACAACCTCTCAGATCATCCAAATCATCTGGAACAAGATAATCGAATGGACATTAGGAAAAGGGAAAGGGAAAATTTCTCTCAACCTTGAATACCCCCTCACACAGAAAC